GGGAGGTGGGGAGGGGCAGGAGGTGGGAGTGTTCTTTGAAAAGAATGAATAAACTCCTAGAGACAAAGAATCAGAACAAAACACAGAAGACTTAAATAACAGCATTAGGAATGAAATCAGGGACATCATGACACACCCGACAGATACCAAAACTACTGGGAGAGGATATTATGAGCAACTTTATGTCAATTTATGTGAACTCAGAACAATGAAAAATTTCCTCAAAAAACATACTTTTCTAAACTGACAAAAAGAAAACAGAAAATCTGAATAGTTTTATAACTTTAGAATAAATAAAATCCATAATTAAAAACCTTCCCAAGCAGAAAACTCCAGGCTCTAATGGCCTTACTGGTGAATTCTACCAAACATTTAAAGAAAAATACCCCAATCTTATGCAGACTCTTTCCGGGAACATAACAGCAGGAATATGTTCCAGCTCATTCTATGAGGACATAAAACCTTGATTCTAAAAACCTGATAAGGGTGTTATAAGAAAGAGAAATTACAGGCTAATCTCCTGATGAATATATACGCAAAAATGCAGCAATATAAAAGAAAGTACCATAACATATTACAACCCAGCTGGGTGTATTCCAGGAATGCAAGGTTGGTTTAGCATTAGAAAGTCAATCAGTGTACTTTACCTATTAACAAAATAGAGAAGAAAGATCATATGATCAACTCAACAGATACAGTAATAACACTTGATAAAATTCAACACCATTCATGTTATGAACTCTCAAAAAAATTAGGAATAAAGAAAACTTCCTTAATCAGATTTTTTTAAGTATCTATAGAAGTCTCTCAAAAACATCATACTTAATTGTAAAATGTTGAAAACTTTTCCTCTGAGATTAAAAAAAAAAGGTCCACCATCACCACTTCTATTCAACATTGTACTAGAAGTTCCAGCAAAACAACAGACAAGAAAAAGATACAAAATGTATAAGAATAGTAAAGGACAAAATAAAATTGTCATAGATGGCATGATCATGCATGCAGAAAAAACAAGAGACCATAAAGTTCTTATCAAAATAGCTAAATACAAAGTTGCTGTTGTTATAAAACGCTGTCGAATCGATTCCGACTCACAGCAACCTATAGAACACAGCAGAACTGCCCCGTAGGGGTTTCTAGGCTGAAATCTTTATAGGAAGAAATCACCAGGTCTTTCTCCTGCAGGGAGCTACTGGTGGGTCCAAACCTCTGACCTTTTGGTTAGCAGCCAAGTGCTTAACCATTGCGCCACCAAGGCTCCTATAAATAGTTCATATATAAAAATAAATTGTATTTCTAAATTACAGCAACAAACTATTAGAAATAAACTTTAAAAAGACATCATTTAGGAGAACAGTTTGGTGGTTCCTCAAAAAGTTAAACACAAAACTATCATATGACCCAGAATATGCCCAGAAGAAATGAAAACAGGGAATCAAACAGATAATTGTATATCAATGTTCACTGCAGCATCATTCATAAAACCCAATCCCAAAAGGTTACATGCTGTATGATTCCATTTACATAACACTTCTGAAATGACAAAATTTTAGAAATGGAGGAAAGAACAGTGGTTGCCAGGAGTTACTGATGGAGGATGGGTGAGTGTGGTTATAAAAGGCCAGCACAAGGGACCTTTGTAGTGATAAAACCCTTAGGTATCTTGACTATGGTGGTGGACACAGCAACTTACACAGGTGATGACATTGTATAGAACTTAACACACACACATATACACACGCAAGTACAAAGAAAACTGGGGAAAATATGTATAAGGTCAGAGGACTGTATCTGTATCTTGCTTGTGATATTCTACTATAGTTTTCTGTCACCACTGGAGAAAACTTGGCAAAGTGTACAGGGGATTTCTTTGAATTATTTCTTAAAACTGCATGTGAATCTACAATTATCTCAATAAAAATTTCAGTTAAAGAAAGATACCATTAGAATGACATGAAAATACCAAAAGTCTCAGAATAAATCTAATGAAAGACATGCAAGACCACTATACAAAAAATGATAACATTATTGAGAAAAATTAAAGTCCTAAATAAATGGGTATACCATTTTCACAGATTATTAGTCATGAGACTATAAAGATCTCAATTTTACCCAACTGACTTATAGGAGGGAATGGCACACTCCTTCTATAAAGGGCTAGATAATAAACATCTTAGGTTTTTCGGGCCATATGGTCTCCGTAGCAACCACTCCACTTCATCGTTGTAACCTGAAAGCAGCCACAGATAACATGTAAACAAATGGGCATGGTTGTGTTCCTGTAAAACTTCATTTACAAAACAGGTGCAGGCTGGATTTTACCTGCCGGCCTTAGTTTGCTCACCTAGATCTATAGTCAATGCAAATCTAATCAAAATTTCAGCAGGTTTTTCAGAATGAAAATTGACAAGCTCATTGTAAAATTTATGTAGAAATGCAAAGGGCAAAGAAGAGTCAAAACAATCTTGAAGAAAAACAAAGTCAAAGGACTAATTCTATCAGCTATCAGGACTTGCTGTTAGGTGCCATTCTGACTCAAGGTGACCCTATGTACAACAGAAAGAAACAGGGCCTGGTCCTTTGCCATTCTCACAAATCATTGCTATGTTTGAGCCCATTGTTGCAGCCACTGTGTCAATCCATCTCATTGAAGGGCTTCCTCTTTTTTGCTGGCCCTCTACTTTATTAAGCATGATGTCCTTCTCCAGGGACTGGTCCCTCCTGATAACATATCCAAAGTACATAACACGAAGTCTCACTGTCCTCGCTTCTAAGGAGCATTCTGGTTGTACTTCTTCCAAGGCAGATTTGTTCATTCTTCTGGCAGTCCATAGTATACTCAATATTCTTCTCCAATACCATAATTCAAATGCATAATTCAAATGCATTCTTCGTTCTTCTTTACTGATCGTCCAGCTTTCGCGTGTATGAGGCGACTGAAAACACCATGGCTTGGGTCAAGTGTACCTAAATCTTCAAAGTGACATCTTTGCTTTTGAACACTTTAAAGAGGTCTTTTGCAGCAGATTTGCCCAATGCAACACATCGTTCGATATCTTGACTGCTGCTTCCATGGGTGTTGACTGTGGATCCAAGTGAAATGAAATCCTTGACAACCTCAATCTTTTCTCCATTTATCATAATGTGGTTTACTGGTCCCGTTACGAGGATTTTTGTTCTCTTTAAGTTGAGGTGTAATACATACTGAAGGCTGTGGTCTTTGATCTTCATCAGTGAAGTGCTTCAAGTCCTCTTCAGTTTCAGCAAGCAAGGTTGTGTCATCTGTGTAACGTAGGTTTTTAATGAGTCTTCCTCCAATCCTGCTGCTGCGTTCTTCTTCATATAGTCCTGCTTCTCGGATTATCTGCTCAGCACACAGACTGAATAAGTATAGTGAAAGGATACAACTCTTACACATACCTTTCCTGATTTTAAACCATGCAGTATCCCCTTGTTCTGTTCGTATGACTGCCTCTTGGTGTACAGGTTCCGCATGAGCATAATTAAGTGTTCTGCAGTATCAGGACTTAGTATAAAGCTATAGCAATCAAGATAGCACTGTACTTGTGCAATTACAGACAAACAAAACACTGGAACAGAACAGAGTCCAGAAACAGACACACACACACGGGACAAGGGGGACACTATAAAGCAATGGAGAAAGAATGGTCTTATCAACAAAGGCTCTGGGTGAACTGGATATCCAAATGAAAAAAAAAAAGGAAAAGCAAACAAACACTTCGATCTTATACCATTCACAAGAATCAATTCCAAGTGGACTGTAGAAAGGGACAGGTAAAACAATAAAAGCTTCTGAAATAAAATGCAGAAGAATAACTTCATAACTTTGGGGTAGGCAAAGGTTTCTTACCAGAATACACACACACTATAAACCATAAAAACCAAAGACAAAAAGAAAAATGAATTGGACTACATTAAAATTATAACTTCTACTCAGTAAAAGTCACCACTAAGCGAGTAAAAAAAGGCAAGCCACACAATGCAAAAAGACGGCTACAACACAAAAATAACAAAGGACTTGTATCCAGGAAATAAGAGTTACTACAAATCAAAAAGAAAACGCTGCCTGATAGAAAAAGGGCTAGAAATGTCACAAAAGATGCCCAAATGGCCAATAAATATATGAACAATACTTAACCTCATCAGTCACCAGCCAAACCCACTGTCATGGAGTCGATTCTGACTCATAGCGACCCTATATGACAGAGTAGAACTGCCCCGTAGGGTTTCCAAGGAGTGGCTGGTGGGTTCAAACTGCCAACCTTTCAGTTAGCAGCTGAGCTCTTAACCACTGGGCCACCAGGGCTCCTGTCAGACATCAGGCAGATGTAAATTAAAACTACAATGATATATACACTCACCAGATGCTAAAATAAAAAGACTGGTAGATAATATTAAACGCTGGTTAAGGACCATACCAGTGGACATCCTAACAGCCTGAACGATGACGGTGGGCCCCCGGGCCTGTTTCTGCTCTGAGATAGCAGCGGCCCAGTTCTGTGCCTTACAAGGCTGTGCAGCCCCCAGGGGTCCAGTGCTGGCCAGCAGAAACACTCCTTGGAAAACCCTTTCTTATTCAAATTCTAAGCCACATGTCAGCACCCTCCATGCCCCACAAGCATCCCAGGGCAGATCAAGTGGGCCCAGGTGACAGCCAGACATGCCAGCACCAGTGGTGACAATCTGCGGTCACCACGCAGTCTCAGCTGACTTACTTGCTCAGTTTTTCTTGCGATGAGGTTGCCGATGGTCTTGCTGAAAAAGCTGGCGAGGAGAGGGTTGAGGGGAGGCTCGTGGTCCAGGAAGTCATACAGGAGGTTCAGCAAAGTCTCATCCCCTCCCAGCTTGTCGTTGATCTGTGGCACATCCGAGGTCAGAAGCTCACAGGCTGTGTTTGGATATCTAAAAGGGCACAAACCAAGCAACTGGAGGTGAAGTTAGACTTCTCAAGACACTCAGGAAGCTGCCTAAATAATCTGCCTAAAACAAAAAAACAAACTCATCGCCTCTGAGTCGATTCCGACCAATAGCGACCTTGTAGGACAGACTAGAACTGCCCCATAGGGTTTCCAAGGAGCGGCTAGTGGATTCGAACTGCCAACCTTTGGGTTAGTGGCCATAGTTCTTAACCACTACGCCACCAGGGCTCCAAATAATCTGCCTTATAGCAGACAAATCCATATTATAAGAACAAAAAACTGAATGGACTTCAGATAAAAATGTGATTACTCTTGGACTAACATATTTATGATTCTACAAAGCTCTCAGTTTTTAAAAATACATTTTCTGGCACCTCATACCCTACAATCTGACAACCTTCATTTCCAAACCCTGATCTCTGGACCCACTGCACCCACTGCACCCCGTGCACCCGCTGTACCCACTGCACACACTGCATCCGCTGCACCGTCTGCACCTATACCCTCTGCACCCACTATACCTGATCCACCTACTGTACCCACTGCACCCTCGGCACGTTC